ATATATATATATATATATATATATATATATATATATAAACAGTGAACCCTCATTTTACGAGGTTAATTCAACCCACGGCGGCCCACGTAAAGTGAGAAACGCGTAAAGTGAACAATATAACATATGGGATTAATTGAAATAGAGACCGGGCCGACCCCCAAACTCCACTTTCTCAGACACAATACCTACGTTGTAGTAAAAATAAATTCTTAATTTTATGATGGTATGCACACTCAATTAATAATTAAGAGAAATATCAATAATATTAGGTTTTTTAACACTTACATTAGTAGAAAAGATGGCTGGGCACACGGGGATGGGGGGTTGGTTCCGAGGCAGAGGGCAGATTATTGGCCCTCACCTGTATCACTTGTATCAATTGTATCGCTATCCACCACAGAGGCTTGCAGGGCCTCTTTGTCAAACCCCTCAAAGTCCATATAAGTCCATATCCTCACTATCATTATCACTATCACTGACTTGGGCCGGCTGTGGTGGGTGGCGGGTGAAGAACTCGGTAATGTTTTGATGACTGGGCGACCTTGTGCGCACCCTGCTCGCGCCGCTTACACAACATGGTGGATGGCGGGAGAGGGTGGGAGAGATGGCGGGAGGTTTGGATCCAAAAATGGGGCGGCTCGCCAGCCGCTCACCGCGTAAAGGGGTACAAGCACCGCGGAATGTGAGCATTCCGGTTTCGGCAGGGTGCCGCGTAAACGTGGAAACGCGGAATGTGGGACCGCGTAAAGTGAGGGTTGACTGTATATATATATATAGGCCCTATTCTTATTAATTCTTATAAGTACAATAATTTCATTATCAGTGGCTTTTTGGGGGTCCCTATTAACCACTTATAATTCCTCTTAACATTAGGGACTTTTTATGTGGAGTTACACAATTCTTTTACCACTTAAGTGCAAAACCACTTATAACGGGGACCCCCTGTACCACATTATAGGAGAACTAACTATGAATTAGTATTACATCTTTATTCTATGTTTAGTGAAATACAGTACTGGAGGCTGGTAAGGTCTATACATTTCCCTCATCTTTTAAACTGAGAAAACTTACACAACATTTACCATTAATGTAAGATAGTAAGCTGATAAGTGGTGAAAAAATACAAAATCTTCCATATCTCAAAAAAAATTTATACAGTTTTTGGACTCTTTGTTAAAGCAGATTTTCATAACTAGAGCAATACCATTACAGTACAGTACTTATTAAATATTATCTCACAATATGGCAAGAGTACTTTATCATACAGTAAACCCTCGACGGACTAAATGGAGGAAGGCCGTTCTCGCTAAAGCCGAAAATCAGTTAAAACCAATTGCCCAAAAATTATTTCAAACTAAAGGGGGTAAAAAGGGGTTTGAAATACCAGATATTTCGAAACAGGAGGAGATTTTATTACTTATTACAGTATTGTATAAATTTGAAATACATTTCTAATAATGAAATATTTTACATTAATCCACCAATAATGCATAAGTTATGTTCTTAAAATTCCTTGTTGAAAAAGAATAATTTTTGATGTACAGTACTGTATTTTGTTCATATATATACACACTAGCCTCTGTTCAGGTCACTAGAATCACCCTAAAAAGTAGATACAGTAGTTTTTTGTGTGTGTGCACTGACTTGTATTATTTTTGCCCTAGCAATGGTGTTCCACCCAAGTCTCTCCGTCCACCATACACTCACCATAAAGCTTTGGGGTGGAAACCCGTCGATACTTAATGCATAATGTGTGATAATGATTGTTTACCGCTCTCATTTTTCAATAATTTTCAACTTTTCTGATTTTCTTTATTACAAACAGTACAGGGAGCCTCATCATCATATGTTGTACCAATATACGTATATCATTTCACATAATATGTAATTAACAAATAGAGGAAGAAATTTCCATCGTACGTCCTTTATTTCACATATAAGTCATCTGCATCATCCACTGTATTATACCGAGTCTGTGTATCCGAATATGATGCATAAAGTGTTAAAAACATCAAATATAGAGCAAAAAAACCATAAGTAATTAAAGTACCATACAAGTGTTAAGTTTCTCCCACACCAAAACACATCAGTCACCCCCAACACAACTGTGTGCTAATGCCACTATTATATGTAAGTAAAGACCCAATTTGGAGAAAAGTCATCTCAATGTGCGAGTGTGCCTTATGACTAAAGAAAATTCTGTTCTGTATATTGTACAATAACATAAAGATATAACAAATTAAGAGAGTACAGGTATATTCTATGTGGCAGGAGTGTACTGTATCTGAGAGTAGCAGATGGTTTGGCAACATACCATACTTTTACTTTACTTTTATCCTCCTTGCCACTGATTGGCTCTTTAGCCACTTGGGCAGTCAGTCACATCTCTGTTATGCACTGTTGGCAAGTACTGGGCATGAATTGGCTCCTGAATGTATCTGAACCTGCTCCAGTGTTGGTCAGGTCTGGCCTTGAATGAGCTCACATTCAGTGCTGTCACAACACTCTCTGGCAAGTTGTTCCAAGAGTTAACAATTCTCACTCCCAAAAATTTTTTGCCCTCACAGTTTTTTGCACTTGTGGCTTTTTCAACCTTGAGCTGTGACCCCTTGTAGGGCAGGCATCCACCAGCTCCAGGATACATACACTCGACTGAGTAGTGTCCCCAGAGATGTTTGTACACTTGAATTAGGTCACTCCTTGCCATGACTCACCAGACTACTGTATATCTAACCACAGATATTTAGATCACATAAATATTTAAACACCAAAAAATGATAGTTAGAAAACCTTATTCTGCTCTAATACAATGGAGGTTTGCATGTAAAGAAGGGCGAAACAAAAATTACAAAACTATGCTTAGGCGAGTAGCTGAGGACAGGTGGTGGAGGATGGTGGGGGAGGAGGGAGGGAGTACTGTACTGGCTGGTCTGAGTGGACAACTCTCCCGCGCTTGTCAGCCCTCGATCCTTTTATAACGACAGTATAAAATTTCACAAAAGCTCTCATATTATTTAGGTTCATTTGGTGCCGGGTGAATAAAATATAATAGTAAAATAATAAATTTCCCCCCAAAATATCCCACACTCAACCACAAATGACTTATTACGCCATATTTTTTTCCCAGTCTCTTGTTTACAGAGCAGTAACAACTGATCATTCTTAGCCTCTCTCACAATGTTGCCAGCACTCACCACCTCTCAAGCACCACAGTTTTCACTGCTCAAGAGGGTTGGTGATTACCAGAGGATCTGTCTTCACCACTTAGTAAATAATATTGTAGCGTATTTATCAGCACTTACTAAATATTATTGTAGCATATAATGTCTGCATGTACCAGGGTTTATTCACTTTTCAGTTGTCTAAGTGGTGTACAAGTAGCAAAATCTAGCCACTATGTATCTCTAAAAGTTAATAAATAACTTTGTTCTGAACATATCAAATACTATACAGTATGCTATAATGACCCCATTATAAGCTGATTTGCTGTAAGTTCTCTCTGCAGGAACACATCCTGAGCTTTTACAGGGTATCACTGTAGATCTTTACCCCTAATTAGATTAACTCTTATGCAAAAAAAATCCTCATTACAAAACATTTCACTACAAGTCACATTTCTCTGGAACACATCCCAACATATGATGATGTTATTCCAGGCAGTATTTATGCAGTGACGAACTATCAGACAACTCCTCGAGGATAACGGACATGTCTGTTGTCTTAAGGGTTTGTCCGAAAGGTTTAGGGTGTCCATTATAACTGGAATCCATTATATACAGCAACCATTATAAAGTACCAAGAGTTTACTTTATATGGCAACAGTTTATTTTATTAAAGTTTCTCATTTATTTTATAAAACCTGCTCATGACATAACACAATACTGTACTGTACTTATCTCATTATCTGACAATTATGTAGAAAACTTTATAAAACCTTATCTCAATACTGTACATGTACAATATAAACATGCTGTTCTTTCATCAGATACCTACTGTACAATATATGTACAGTATATTATTTTGTTGTATCATCATCATGATACAGTACAACTCATACAGTACTGCTCATTATCATTGAAACACCCAAACTCAAATAGAGAAGTATGTATACAGTACTGGTGTATTTTCATTATGGTATGTAATAAAAAATTGCTAAAAAATATGATAATGCATACAGTACTGTACTGTACTGTACTGTACTGTACTGTACTGTACATATATTTCCAATTTTTTCGTAAAAAAAATTATAAAAACACTGATACAGTAGATACAATATGTACACAGTCAACTTGAGTTATAAAAAATTATTTCACCTTAAATGTAAAGGTACAGATCAACACAGAGCCTTGAAATTCCCTATTTTCTGGTCTGAATTCATACATACTGGTCTGTGTAAATAAACCCTTCTATCTAGTTACTGTACAATGTTTAAACCTTCTGCCTTTTTGCATTAAGTAGTGTACATTTGACACAGTAAACTGCACAGAAATAATGATGGTACAGTATTTCCAAGAGTACTAGAACCATTCTTTATTAATGAGGGCACAAAGTTGTATCTCAAGGTAGGTGAGTCCTCTAGAGTCTAGTGCACCATAACAGTCTCATGATCCACAACCCCAGACAAAAATGAAAGATATTACTGATTACTGTATCGAACTCCTCTGAGATACTGTATTTCAAGACATATAACACGGAGCAAGTTGATTTAAATTCATTGTACTGTTCTACAAATGCTTACTTACATGGATGAATAAAAGCATTCCTGAATTCTCAAGATTGTACTCTATCACCCTTAACTCAGCCTATTCTTCATATGTCACAGCCTATAAAACCTGTGTTACAGTACTGCATATCTCCGTAAAGAATTTACCTTGCCCCCAGCCACAATGACACCTATACACTTTCTTCACATTTAGAGTCACACACAGTTTATTTTGGTCCAGTATGGCAGCCAATCATTTTTATGGCAACCTATAGAGTTACCAGGTAGTGATATATACCTTGTAAGTTGTAACATCATACTAACATGCTCAGTGAGACTCTTGTGCCATGAGAGAGAGGGTGTGTCACATCTGGTCAGCTGCCCTGAGGTTTCGCTGACTCTCATTGATCAGTAATATTCTTCTGTCTATTGAGGCAGGAGAGAAAAAAAAAAGGAACTGCTTTTAAAACATTCCAAAGATAGTACTGTACCAAAAATAAATTTAGTGAAGATGAAACTAGTGAAATAACAAAACTAACAACGAAATATAAGTGCCAGAGGTGGAAAAATCATCCCATTGGTGACTTGAGCAGGTACAGATAACACAAGTGACAACACATCACACAACTCTGAATGGTCTATACAGCACCACAGTACACGTAATGAAACATGTAATGTATATTTTTGTTGACAACTTTGCTAAATACTGTACAGTATGTATTTTTCTGTCTTACTGCATCAAAAAGGAGAACAAAGTCCACAGGTTAAAGGGTTAATATTGTCATTGTAATGTTATTAATGATAATCTTGTGGGGTGATCAAGCAAAGTGGTTACATACTTTCATTCCTTCCATGCAGCATCACCAAGGGTTGGACTTGCTGTCTTCTTTTTTTTCTTTAAAAAATGATAAGCTATGAATTATGATGATCATATTAGAACATTAAATAAATAAAGAAGATTGTTGTATGTATAGGTTGTGCACTAAATAAGTTTAGTCATATAGTCTCCCTAATAGCAGATTTAAAAGTAAAAGTTGATTAATCCATTCAGCCAGAGAATGACGGGTCATATAATTTAAGCTAACTACAGTTCATATCCCACACTCTCATCATGACCACCATCCTTCACACTCTACCATACTCTCACCATGACCACCATCCTTCACACTCTACCATACTCTCACCATGACCACCATCCTTCACACTCTACCATACTCTCACCATGACCACCATCCTTCACACTCTACCATACTCTCACCATGACCACCATCCTTCACACTCTACCATACTAGATTTGTTAACTTCTGTCTTGATTGAAGTGTAAATACTGTATCCTAATCAGAGTCTGGGTTATAAAGTGTGTCCTTTACAGACCATTATAAAGAATTTAATTTTTTCAATCCTCTTTTCATAGTAATTCGAGACTTCACTTAGTGATCAGTAAATCCCAGTCTGAAGAATCTATGAAAAAGAAACTTCTTACTCAAATTTTACAGTGGAAATGACAAATGAATTAACATTAAGTCAATTTGGATGGGATAATTTCAAATACAGTACACACTGTATGTCAACCCATCTTTATATGAAGGATGCATTTTCCCAAAAGCCTCACATCCTCTTAATTCCACCAGGCTGATCAAGTAGAAACCTCTCTGCCAAGAAAATGCTGAGGCTCCAAGCTCTGAAACCACTAGTCCCAAACACTATTAACCTGCATGGGTTGGGTTGATATTATCCTGTTATTAACCAAAGATGTCTCAGTGACTACTCATCATGCCCTGTAACTGAACATTGGTTATCAAAATGGAGAGCTAATGTGCTAACCACTCTATATGTATGGCAATTCAAACTACAAGAGAGGGTTAGTGGATGACCCACACCTACAGTATAGTTTTAAGAATTGAAGACATGGACAGAAAACCTTGTCCTCTCCAACTCAAAATTGGACCCAGAAATGGAAAATGATTTGGATACAGCAAGACCAACGGGTGAAATTAAACCCTAATGGGCTAAGGTGGAGCCAGTAGAATAATGACACCAGAAATGTCCCAATTCTGATTCCATTTGAAGCACATGGGAAAGAAGGAATAAAGAAAAGAAAATGGGTCCCAGGTACTACAGTCACAGAAATGCATCCAACCCTACTGATTCCTCCTGTGGAATAGATGAAATGCATACAAACTGGGTGATGATTGTCAAGCAATACAAACAAAATCATCATTCACACACAGTACTCCAAGGGGATGAATTCATGACAATGGAACTGATCTCCATTTGAAAGGCTTTCTTCTAATACTGTACTGGACAAGACATACAGTATAATACTGTACTACAAAATGTACTCCCCGACACAAAGCATCTCAGCAAAATGAGAGGCATCTACTGTAAGGGAGAGCTTTGATACTTGGGTGAGCACTTGCTGTAATTGTCCAGGGGAAAGGATAAAGATGAACCATGTAATACACACAACTTGTTACCAAAACGGGATACTCCTTTTCTAAAGATTATCTCCCATTTAATGGAGAAACAACAAGGTAACAATCATTTTTACTCAACCTTATAGGCAAACTCAACCTAAAAGGGGCCTAAAATCCATTATGTTCTATCATAAAGGGAATGAAAACCCAACCCTTTGTGAGAAAACTTGCTTAACCATCATAAATCAGATTTCTACGACTAGGAAACAATCATCATCTTGGCTTAAACTTCTTAAGGTCCCGATCAGTGGCGGCTCGTCGGTAAGCACTGTGGAACTGCAGCACCCCCTATTTCACCCGATATATATGTATTATATAATATATCATATATGTTTATTTATTTATACTTGTACAAGATATTTAAAACTATTATCAATAATCCTTAAACTTAATGTCAATGGCCATCCTCTAATTCAGAGAAAACAACAAAAATCCCTGTATGTGGAACTGTCTTACTCGACAGTTCCAATAACGGGCGTTTGCTTTGCCTCACGCATGAGCGCATGTCCTGGAGGCAAGCGGGGGCGAGCACTGTGGATCACACAGTGCCGATCTGGTTATCAGTGTGGGAGGTAGTGTTTACGCATCATCCTGTGTGGTGCTTACGCGCCGTCTGCTATATCAAGAGTATTTGAATGTGATAAATTGTAGATGATGTGATATCATACTGTATGATATCACATCATCTACAATTTATCACATTCAAATACTCTTGATATAGCAGACGGCACGTAAGCACCACACAGGATGATGCGTATGATTCATACTCAGAGACTACATTTTGTATTCATTGTTTTTTCCAGAAACTTTATTGTGTAGAAGAATTTGAATTAATTAAACATGGCCTCCTTGTTTTCCCAAGAAACAAGTTCTGTGACCGTGAGTGAACTTCAACAACTTAAATTTTCACAGTTGTCTCTTCATGAGAAAGTTGCTATTAAGACAAGAGGCCGTCCCACACCTGATATTCAAATATCTCAGCCAGGAATAAGCAACAGTAAGAGGTATATTCGTAGCTTTCATTCAGAACGGTACCAAAGGAAAAATTGGCTCTGTGGTTGTGAAGTAAAAAATACATTACTTTGTTTTCCGTGTTTGTTGTTTGGAATTGGAAGTGATGTAACTTGGACAAAAGACGGCTTTAGAAATATAAGCAAAATGAAAGAAAAAACTGAAAAACATGAAAAATAAAAGAAACATATTGAAAGCGTGGTTTCACTATCACTTTTAGGAAGCGAAAATATTAAAGAAAAACTTAGTGAAGCCTATAGACTTTCGATCAATGAGCATAACAGGAAGGTTACCAAGAACAGTGAAATTTTATCCAAGATAACAGACTGCATTACATTTTGTGGAAACTTTGAAATTCCTTTACGTGGACATGATGAAAAAGATGATTCAGTAAATCCAGGTGTATTTAGGGGATTAATAAATTTTGCATCTAAATTAGACCCAGATTTAAAGAACCATTTAGAAACAAGTACAGTCTTCACAGGTGTTTCTAAGACTATTCAGAATGAGATACTTGACTGCCTGCTGCAGATATACCATGATGAGATAAAGAAAGAGATTAAAGAAGCTTCATTTGTAGCTGTCATGGCTGATGACACAACAGATGTTTCAGAACACACTCAAGTGGTAATTGTTCTACGGTACGTGCTGAATGAAGAAATATTTGAGCGTTTTTGGGGATTCTTTATTCCAGAAAATCAAACTGCAGATGGCATATCAAAATGTATTCTAGAGCAGTTAGATATAATCCTTCAAGGAAATAGACAAAAACTGATAGCTCAGACATTTGATGGTGCAAATGTCATGAAAGGCAAAAAAGGGGGCATTCAGGCAAAAATAAAAGCAGTTTATAATAATGCACATTTCATTCACTGTTATGCGCACCAACTGAATCTGATAATGAGAAGTGCAGCAAGTATTACGCGGGACTCAAGAATATTTTTCTCTAACGTTTTGGCTATACCAACATTTTTCTCAAGATCACCACAACGTGTATCCATTCTCAATAAGCATATGAACGTCAGCATTCCGCGCCCATCCTCTACAAGGTGGAACTTTAACGTACGGACCGTGAACAAAGTTCATGAAAATTTGCAACCTTTAAAAAGCTGCCTTGCTGAAATCCAATCGACGGTAAATGCAGATCGAACCATTTCAGAAGCAACAGGAATTTTGCACTACCTGAATAATGAAAAATTCATGTTATGGTTGGAGCTTTTTCATCAGATCATGCCTCACGTTGAAGTAATTTACAACCAAATGCAGTCTCGAGAAATTGATGTGTTTAAAGTACATGAATATATAACAAATTTCAAAGCTGCTATTTTAGAAATAAGAAACTTGAAGTACTGTGAGAAACCTTCAAAGACGCTCATGGCTGAAGGAAAGGAAGTATGTGACTGCTTATGTGTTGATATAGTGGAGAGATATTTTCACTAAACAATTAGTAGCTGCTAAATTAGTCAACAAGAAAAGCTTCACTAGTCTTAGGAATAAACTGCCTACACAAGAGATACGATTGACCACTGAGGCATATCCCATGATTGACAAAGACAAATTAGAAACTGAACTTAAGAGTATTCTGCAGTAGGTCCGATATGCATGAATATTGCAGGTTAATTAACCTGCTGAAATTTATCTTGGAAAATAATCTAGATGGTGTTCTTAGTGAGATTATGAAACTGATAAAAATCCTCTTGACAATTCCTATGACTACACCAGAGCCTGAAAGCTGCTTTTCAACATTAAAAAAGAATAAAAACTTTTCTGAGGAGCACTGTGAATCAGGAAAGGCTTAATGCACTTGCAATGATTTCAACGGAGAAAATTTTCTTTAACAGTCATCCAAACATCAATGAGAAAGTTGTTGACCTTTTCGCTCAAAAGAAAACAAGAAGAACGGATTTTATTTTTAAATAAATTTAGATCAAGCTAGAC